AAAATAGCAATCAATCCATTATTAATCTAGATGTGATATTAATTCACTGTTGTTTACTTGTATCAAATTGATTAATGAATAATTGATTATGAGACAAACCACCAAAATAAAATCATATTATTTTTTTCATCCATACAGGCTGTAGCTTCCCGCTTTTGAGAACCACCGGTATAAGTGAGGTCAATCCATGTTATTTGTTGTAAATTGTTAAGAAACATCTGAATAAAAGAATTCATTCGCAATGTCGTTTAATGATCCAAATCATTAGTTGAAAAACCAACTATATAGTTGACAACTAATATAGAAAATTTTCATTTTAATTTTAATCTGTCACATGTAATGTTCGTATGTGAAGATTTCAACCACCCAGCGTCACCAGTGACCTATTGGCTAATTATAGATTATGACCTTATGGCCTGTTATGACTCATAAATTTACTATCGCTATTGCGTTATGACCACCTTGGCCAAAATAAACGCGAAAAATCAAAACAAACCAAAAAACCGTTCATTTTATCTATGAACCTGTTTTCTGCGCACTATGTAACAAAAGGTTTTTTTTTTACGAACTTTTGGTATTAAGAAAGCTCATTCGGGCCTACTTAATAGCAAAACTTTACCCTAACTTAGCGGCGAAACTTTTTTTGGCGAAATTTTTAAGGTGGTGACGCTAGGGTCTTAAAGATTTCGTGTTGTTAGTAATGACAAACTCAATGATATCACGTAATACAGTCAAACCTCCCTAAATGCAACTCGTATGGACCAGACTTTTGGGAGCTTGCATTTAGAGAACAATAAGAAAAATTGCATTTATGGGAGTTTAGTATATATTTTGGCCAGAGTAATAGTTGCATTTAGAGAGGTGTTGTGTTTAGGGAATTGAATTTTGGGAAGTCTAACTGTCAGTGTTGTAATTTGGACTAATTAAGGACAAAATATAGACATAGTAACTTTTGAGTGCCCTAATTTTCCCCACCACTTCTGATTGGCTGTACTAATTATTCATTTATCGGAGCCAATCCAATTTCACGATCAGGTGTAACGTAAAAGAAGCGCAAAAAAAAATGCAAAAATTAAAAATCGTCCATAACTCTAAATTCAATATATGAAACTGTCTTCTACGCACTAATAAAAATTTTTCTTGTAAAATTTTGGTATAAGAAATGTTTTATAATTATAATATAATGCCAAAATATTAATTCTAGTCTAACAGCGCGAATTTTTACTTGAAAATTTTTTTTGATTACTAATATAAATACTCCAATAATTGAATAATTAGTACAGCCAATCAGAAGTGGTGGGGAAAATTAGTAAATCCAGTAAGAGTAACTTTTTAATTGAATATATAAAATTGGACTACGTCAAATCTACCCAAAATTTGAACATAGTCCAAATAATGACACTGCTAACTGTACTTTAATTTTCTCAATCTGACACTGTCATGAACCGTGAGCGTTTTTTATAATCGTTAATGGAATTGGATTTATTGCACTGATTGTCTATGAACAGTGGCTTGACTTAGCTCAAATTAATTTTTGAACTGAGTCGAGCAAACCATTTGCATCACTAATTAAAATCAATGAATATGAGTCATAAAAATAATCTTAATACGCAAGTTTTATTAAGTAAATTAATTACAGGCACCGAAAGTAAAATACATATAGTATCTGGTATGTGCAATAACCTCACGATTTTGTGTCCGTGAACTTGGGCGGAATAACGATGAATCAAAGTTAACGATGAATCAATAATCGGAGTGATCTCAATGATATAACCTGATTATTTTAATAATACTGTAATATTAATATAGTTTTCGAGGTATTCTGGCGGAGTTAAAATTTATCAAGATTTGTTTATAAAAAACTTTATTAAAATATTTGTTATAATTATAATTCCACACCATTTTTAATAATAAAAATGGTGTGAGATTATAATTATAAAGTGTACTGTCGGAATTGTAAAATAGTTTTTTTATATGTTGTATACTGGTGAGAATTAGAGGTTGGAACCGGTTTTAATAATTCGTGTTTATCACATGAAGTTTGTGATATTTTAGAATTTAATCCAATTAAAATTTAATAAACCCGAATTATTAAAACCGGTTCCCCAACATCCTATTGGCTGAGATTATTTGTACCAATTTACATGTCACCTTCTGTTTAAAATGTGACATCTTGGTTAGGGTTAGTGGGCGGCATTATACCAAAATTTTGCAAGAAATTTTTTTTGTTAGTACGCCAAAGGTGATTTCTTAGACAAATTTTTGAGATAAATGTGACTTTACAAAAGAAAGTGATTGTTGTTTTGTTCGTCACGTTACACATGATCTTGCACTCTGATTGGCCAAAATTGAAACGTTGGGGTAAATTAGTAAACCTCACCGGTGAAGGATCAGTTGTGTAACATCGAATTTGTATTGTATCACTTCTGCACTTCAACCTCTAGCTGTGACAACCCCAAAATTTTTGGGTTCGCGACACGTCATAAAATACCAAGAACCAATTTCAAATCAACCATGGACAAAAATGATTATGGTATGTCGGTTATTTAATTAACCACTATTAAAGTGAATTTAATTAGTCTTATAATTTATATGTTATTGTTTAGCATTAATAATTGCAGAGCACTTTAAAAAAACACCTACTTCACAATGGTCATATCATGGATATTTAGAAGCCATGAAATCATATTTTGATACTGATGTTCTAACACAGACTTTGAAAACATTATGGCAAAAGCGTTTTGTAAATTACATGAAGGAAGTCGTTTCAAGTGAGGATACGGACAAAGAACAAAGGAAAATTGCATATTTTTTGGCCACTCAGGTCTGTAAAGAACATACATTACAGTATTAAGTTCTTTTAAAATCATCGACAAAGCAAACCGCCTGTGTGGCTCTACGAGAGTATCGTCCTCGTTCGGGGGTAACAGTTTTGTCTTCACACAGGGTTTTGTGAGCTTGAAAACCTTGCACGCAGAGAGAAAGGTTTCGCTTCTTGTCTCTTGGACAGATTTCTATTCTTGCGCAACATGTAGCAAGCTCTGGATGAAAAATATTGCGCTTATTACTATTAACATTTCACCTCTTTACTTTTTTAGAAGAATAAATTGAAAATCTCTCAGTTTTGGGAATATTTTGATTTAACCAGAAAACTTAAAGCAAAACAAGTACGCATAGAAAATTGTTATATGGCGTTGAGTCAATAGAAATCAAGCAAATTTTTTATAAGTAAAATTTTTTTAATCAAATTTAATAAAAATTTTTTTAAATAAATTCTACAAACTTATAGAATTTATTTAAAAAAAATTTTATTAAATTTGATCAAGTTTTGGTTAAGTTATTGGTATATAAAGTTTTAAAAAAATTCAATAAAAACAATTTGCTTGATTTCTATTGACTCACCCCATATGCTTATTTAAATATCAACTCATATAGCATATATATTAATATAATAAATAGAGTGTAGTTCAAGTTAAAATTCAGATTAACGCATTAAAAGTATTGGATGTTTCAGTTGCCCACCAAGTGAATGAACTGATCAAACGAACACGTCCTGTTCTTTCTGGACTTAACTGTAGCCAAAATTGTGACAATGGTAATATCGACAATGGTGATGACAACTTAACAAATATGGTAAAAATAGTACACATTTATATATTTGATTTCTACAAAAAAAAAAACTTCTATAATATTGTTTTTTGAATACAGAGCAGCGTGAAGCTGAAGAAGCGCAAAACTTTTAGTGAAAAGTTAGATGATCTATGTAATGGTAGCTTTTTGTATATTAGTTTAAGCTAGTAAAAATGTGCTGATATTTCAATTTCTATGCAGGCGAGAATGTAAATGTTGTACATGACAACAGTTACTCTTCTTCCTATGTCAGTTTTGATTCATCTTATATTGGTGAAGATTTTTATTATGTGATAATTATGAGAAAATAAAAATTGATCTGACAGAAATCGCAAAGCAGCTAGAGCAGGAACCATTAAATGAAGTAATTTTTTACTTTTCACTTTTCTATAGTATATTTTTTTATTATATTACAATAATGTTTACATTTTAGTAGGTAGTCGAGAGTATTCAAGTGACACAAAAATTTCGAGAATACCAGAAAAAAGCGCTATATAAAGCAAACAATAAAGGGTTGACATGGGATGACACCTATGAGATTCTGTAAGTATATGATAATTGACCCCAATATATTGACATCTGAAAGAAAAAAAGGATATTATATTTTAGAGTAAATGATTGAATATTTGATTAAAACGGCACTTCATTTTAGAGGTTTGTCATCAATTTTAGTATTATCTTGGTTATGTCCTTATTCAAAGTTTATGACTGAAGAGTGGCAACTCATTACAAAAACAAATCCATATGCGTTAATGGATCCCGTGTTTCCATCTGAAATTTCCATCTCTTTAAATAATGCCGTTTGTAAACATTAGAATGGTGAAGAGGTATACGTATATCCTGGTGATTCTGCATTAAGTAAAGCAGTTTCAAGATTATTCAATGATATGTATGTAGTTTATCTGTTTTATATAATATACTGTATATAATTAATGATTATAAATTTTTTGCATATTGTAGTTATGTAAGCATTCCCTCAGTTGCACATTCAAGAATGACTG